TCCTCCTCTGTCCAGAAACCAGAGGGTTTTGGCACAGCAGCAGGGCCGGGACTGCTCTCGCAGAGCACGGGACGGGGACGGGTCTGTGGGGACATCCTGGTGCAGCCCCTCAGCGGGGTGCTGGTGCTGGAGGGTGCCCCCTTCCCGAGGGCTCTGTGGCACCCATGGGTGCAGGGCTTGACCCTCAGGGCTGGGGCAAGCGAAGGGACCCCCTGAGCAAGGGGCAGCTGCTCTGTGGTGAGGGGATGTGGGGACCTTTGGGTGTCCTTTGGCTTCAGGGCACGGGCAGCTGGCAGCAGAGCAGAGCCCGGGGTTGGTGCCCAACACCCCGGGCACAGCATCCCTGTATCCCAGGGACACATCATCCCTGCATCCCAACATCCCAGGATATCATCCCTGTTATCCCAGGGACACATCATTTCTGCATCCCAACATCCCAGGACATCATTCCTGCATCCCAGGACATCATCCCTGCATCCCAACATCCCAGGATATCATTCCTGCATCCCAGGACATCATCCCTGTATCCCAGGGACACATCATCCCTGCATCCCAACATCCCAGGACATCATCCCTGCATCCCAGGGACACATCATTCCTGCATCCCAATATCCCAGGACACATCATTCCTGCATCCCAATATCCCAGGACATCATCCCTGTATCCCAGGACACATCATTCCTGCATCCCAACATCCCAGGACATCATCCCTGCATCCCAGGGACAACATCATTCCTGCATCCCAACATCCCAGGACATCATTCCTGCATCCCAATATCCCAGGACATCATTCCTGCATCCCAGGACACATCATTCCTGCATCCCAACATCCTGGGCATAGCATCCCTGTATCCCAGGACATCCTCCCTGCATCCCAACATCCCAGGATATCATCCCTGTATCCCAGGACACATCATTCCTGCATCCAAACATCCCAGGACATCATCCCAACATCCCAGGACATCATCCCAACATCCCAGGGACACATAATTCCTGCATCCCAAGACATCATCCCTGCATCCCAGGAACACATAATTCCTGCATCCCAACATCCCTGGCACATCATCCCTGCATCCCAACATTCCAGGACATCATCCTTGCATCTCAACATTCCAGGCACAGCATTCCTGCATCCCAGGACATTATCCCTGCATCCAAACATCCTTGGCATATCCTCCCTGCATCCCAGGACGCCTCATTCCTGCACCCCCAAATCTCGGGTGCACGTCCCCCCCATATCCCGGGCACGCAGCATCTCCACGTCTGAGGATCCCGGCTGC